GTACTGGTCGCGTGATTGGTCGGTAGTGCAGTGACGCGGATCTCGCCGTCTCGTTCGCGCTGCCGTTGAAACTTAACATGCTGTTTCGTTCGGGTCGGTAATGCAGTGACGCGGATCTCGACGCCGCCGTCCCGTTCGCGCTGCCGTGGGATCAGTTTTTTTTTATGCAAGTATGAGCGTACCGTATCTACCCTTTTTGTTTTAATCTAAGCCCCGGACGTCCAAAAAGCGTCACGACTCCGGAAATGGTCGTGAAAGTACATGATATGGTCTTAGCAGATCAGAAGGCATTACTGCTTTAGAACGAAGATGGAATAAGTGCGTAGAGGTTCACGGAGACTATGTCGAAAAATAAAATTAACTTTATCACGAAAAGTTTTTTTTTTTATGTTATAGGGGGCATACGAGCAGACGGCTCACCTGATGGTAAGTGATCACCGTCGCCCATGGACACTTGCAACACCAGGAGTATCACAAATGCGATGCCGGCCTTTAAGGAAGGAGTACGCTCTTTTTTTGAAGGTTCTTGGGTCGTATTGGTCCGGAAACACTGCTGGCGACAACATATTCCACAGTTTTGTCGTACGTGGTAATTTTTTTTTTTAAAGTTAAGTGTTTTCTTTTTAGGCTAGTTACTTATCATCCCGCTCTCGTACCGCGCGATAAAAATCCATTACTTTATCGTCGCTAGAGGCCTCCGCTCCGTGTCGCCGAGTTTCCGCAGGAGACTCAAAGCTGGAAGCGGCATAGAGAAATGTCCGCGCCCAGTTTGACAGATGACTCGCCGCCCGATTTTGGCGGCGGATTGTGTCGACCCGCTGTTGTACAATATTCGGATTAAGGCTTTTTCCAGTCAAAGCTTTTTGATGTCAAAATAATTGTTTTGTGTCACAGACTGAAGATTAGAATCGAATTATTAATTTCGCTGATACGTTAAAAGTTGTAAGCTATGGAGCTTTTTTGATTGATTACCAGATTTAGTGCGGCTTATAAAATTTCATGATATGTGCTGCATAGCTGAATTCGGTCATATAAATAAATATCATCATCATCATCATCATCATCATCATCAGCCTATTAATGTCCCCACTGCTGGGGCACAGGCCTTCCCTATGGATGGATTAGGGAGATTGGGCCATGACCCACCACGCGGGCCCAGTGCGGGTTGGTGGGTGCTAACGACTGCAGACGCAACCGAGACCAACGGCTTGACGTGCCTTCCGAAGCACGGAGGAGCTCGAGATAGTAAATTTTTGGTTACCCATCCAATGACCGACCACTGCGAAAGTTGCTCAACTTCAACGACCGCATCCGAACGCGCTAACCACTGGCGCCATCGAGCTCCTCATAAATAAATATAATAAAGTGAAAAAGTAACCAATCCGTTGATAACCAAATACTTATATAGCTCTCTTGTATGTGGTCATTTAACTTGCAAGGAAAACAGGATCATTCTTTAAAAGGAAAATGATTTTACGTATCAGAAATACAGGAATTGAATCAGTACCACATCTTAATTCGCTTAATTGATTAACGATGTTTCAAGCCGAATTACCGTATCTAGAGACACCAAGCCCGCTGCTAGCCAGGATTTTGCCCTAATGCGATTCCCCAGCAATCACATGCTTCATTTTGTATTCCCGCAAACACTTTTTCCGTATACCCCGCCCTTAATTTGCAAAGCATCTAAAGCGTAGATATCTTTAAACATTTTACATTCGTGACCTAATAAGGGTGGATACCGATAATGGGCAGGAATGTTTGATGATGAATCATTAATGCCCCTCTGGTTTCGCTAGCAAGAGGAATCTTTTATTTCCACATCGAATACGGATATTAATCGATTTCGACGTTTCATGAATTCTGAATGCATCGATTCGTATTAACGTTTCTCATTCTCATTTCATACAAATACCTTTGTCTATTAACTTGAATTTTTTAAGTTTAAAGTTTATTTGTTTCTTAGGTTTTCACGCTCATCACTCACTTGAATTTTTTAAGTTTAAAGTTTATTTGTTTCTTAGGTTTTCACGCACATCACTCATTAAATAAAACTAGTTTTTACGGGTTAATGCACGAAACTTTGTACGTGCATTAACCCGTAAAAACTAGTTTTATTTAAAGTTTAGTTAAGTAGTATCGAAGCGTCCCATGAACATTTCAAATTAGTACTACTATAATCCATATAACTTGTAAGTGCCGATGGAATTTATTAAGAAATAAAACACTACTCGGTTTTTTAAATCAAAAGAAAAGTTTACTAGAAAGAAAAAACCACGCGAACCCGCACCCTTCGCAATCCGGGCGAATATACCGACCATTATGCTATCACGGCCCTATTAGCCGCGTCGAAATTTTCCTAACCTTAAGCTGCAAGGCAGCGCCATCTCTTCGCATTGTAGGTAACCCACAATGTCAAATGAATACTTTTTCTAGTATTAAACATTTGAAAGAAGAAATAGCAATTATAGTTATGTTTTTATTTATTTTTAAGCATTTAACTGCTAGATGTTTTGACTGACTGACTGACTGACCAGGCAGCGGACGGGACTCGAACCCGCACCCTTCGCAATCCGGGCGAATGCACTGACCATTATGCTACCACGGCCCTATTAGACATCTAGCATCTATTAAACATCTAGCAGTTAAATGCTTAAAAATAAATAAAAACATAACTACTCGGTTTATTAATATGAAAATGTGCACTTTTGGACATTGACCACTACTTGAGCAGCAAGCTCAGCCATTACGTGCAGCTAGAGCATCAAGGATGTAATAAATTTAACTAAGTCGTTAACATAATCGTAACGTTGACAAAGTCCACTATCTGGTGACAATCGATGGGAAACTTACTTGTTATTACCTTCTTAAGCCCTACTTTAATTATCATGCTCTAGTTTTGGTTGAATAGAATTGTGTATCTCAGCATTGTATGTCTCGCTGATAAACCTAATCTGTTAAAAAATAACGCCCAACAATTCCAGATACATTCTAAAGTAGCTCAAGCTATTGAAAGTATATCATCATCATCAGCCTATTAATGTCCCCACTGGTGGGACACAGGCCTTCCCTATGGATGGAATAGGGAGATTGGGCCATGAACCACGCGGGCCCAGTGCGGATTGGTGGGTGCAAACGACTGCAGATGCAGCCGGGACCAACAGCTTAACGCCTTCCGAAGCACGGAGGAGCTCGAGATAGTAATTTTTGGTGACCCATCCAATGACCGACCACTGCGAAAGTTGCTTAAGTTCAACGATCGCAGCCGAACGCGCTAACCACTTGCGCCATCTAGATCCTCCGTGCTTCGGAATTTAGTTAAATAGAATTGTATATCTCAGCACTGAATGTCTCGCTGATAAACTTAATCTGTTAAAAAATAACGCCCAACAATTTCAGATACATTCTAAAGTAGCTCAAGCTATTGAAAGTATAAAAGTTATAAAATTATATGCACGACAAAAAGGGGTAATATTGGTGGTAAGCCATGGGAATAAAATGGAAAAGAAATTTATATCCGAGGATGTAATAACGGTTGACACATGAAACGATACAAACGATACGTGGCTCGCAGTCGACATAGATACTTTTACAGTATAATCCAAATCGGAGTATTTTCCTTTATTTTATAAGGATGGAAAACAACCATGTGTGCCATCTAATAATAAACGTCTATTAAAGACTTCACACGCTTCCGACAACAACTATTTTTACAAAAGAATTTTTCAAAGCAATGCTAATTTGGAATCTCATATTTAATTCGTTTATACTTAAATTAGTGTTAAGTAATTTAAAAATATGTTTAGTACTATGTAAAAAATAGTAATTAAGCCACTTGAATTAGAGCATCTGTCAAGGCGTCTCATACATATCACAAAGGACGCCAGCCGAATAACATAGTTCTGTATAATACTGTGTTTTTGCAGTACGCGCAGAGAGACAATACAATCTCTCGCGAGCGGCACTTCAGAGAGCGGTTGTCCGTCAAAGAGATCAGCTACCTGTATCGCGATCTGTTTTGTAATAGGACTCCGTCAGATACGTTTTTGGTAACTGAAAATCATCAGGAGTTGCGTACCGTTTTGCACGAGTAGCGTGTATCATCAGGAGTTGCGTACCGTTTTGCACGAGTAGCGTGTTATCCCTCGCGTATATATAATGTCACGGTTGGATGATAAATTTGATGCAAAGTTGTATCACGACGTTTGATGAGCGTGTCACATACTTATGAAGTACTACTGCAAGCTAGGCACAAGCAGATGCCCTTGTATGGGGTCTCCAGTGTTCTGAGGGAGTTGTGAAGCGTTTTCTACAAATAGTGTCTTTGGTATGGCTACTATTTAACAAAATAAATCCAACAGCTGAAACAGTCCAGTTTTCTGCTATATAAGCCATCTTCACGACTATACTCCACTTAATATACTTAACTATACTTCTATATGTGGTAGCTTGTCAATAGCTTTTAGTAACGGTTTTGTAATGGGACTTCATTAGATACCTTTTTGGTAACATTATAATCATTTGGAGTTGCGTACCGTTTTGCACGAGTAGCGTGTTATCCCTCGCGAGTGGCAGCTCAGAGTTAGTGAGGGTCGCGTCGGAAGCGTTGTCCGACGCCGACGTGGGTAAAAATATGTTTTGTACTACGTAAAAATAGTAACAAAGCCACTTGAATTAGAGCATGACAGATGCAGAAGGCGAGTCTCATACATATCACAAAGGACACCAGCCGAATAACATAGTTCTGTATAATACTGTGTTTTTGCAGTGCAAGCAGAGAGACAATACAGTCTCTCGCGAGCGGCACTTCAGAGAGCGGTTGTCCGTCAAAGAGACCAGCTACATGTATCGCGATCTGTTTTGTAATAGGACTCCGTCAGATACGTTTTTGGTGACTGAAAATCACCAGGAGTTGCGTACCATTTTGCACGAGTAGCGTGTATCATCAGGACTTGCGTACCGTTTTGCACGAGTAGCGTGTATCATCAGGAGTTGCGTACCGTTTTGCACGAGTAGCGTGTTATCCCTCGCGAGTGGCAGCTCAGAGTCAGTGAGGGTCGCGTCGGAAGCGTTGTCCGACGCCGAGGTGGGAGTAGTGGGGGCGGTCGGCGAGTCGGACAGGCCGCGGCTGCGCGTGCGACGCCGCCCGCTGCCGGTGCTCGAACCGCTGCCGCTGCCCGAGCCGTACGGGTGAAGCCGGCCCAGGCCTGTTGGGAAAACTTCAAGTTAACATATGTTGGTATCATAAGGATTCGTGAGAGGAGAAGAGCTCGATGGCGCAAGTGGTTAGCACGTTAGGCTGCGATCGTTGAAGTTAAGTAATTTTACCAGTCGGTCATGGGACGGGTGACCAAAAAATTCACTGTCGGGAGCTCGTACGTGCTTCGGAAGGCACGTTAACCGTTAGTCCCGGCTGCATTTGCAGTCGTTAGCATTTACCAGTCCAATCTTCCTAATCCATCCATAGTGTAAGGAAATTCCACTTTCCAACAGCTGAAACAGTCCAGTTTTCTGCTATATAAGCCATCTTCACAACTATACTCCACTTACTATACTTAACTATACTTCTATATGTGGTAGCTTGTCAATAGCTTTTAGTAATATTTTTTGCTGTTATCTTTATTTTTATAAGCTGTTAGCTGCCCTAAGATAATAAATAAATAAATACATTTAAAATTGGTGGGTAGGGGATGGGGTTAATTGATGCGCTTTGTATATAATTTAAATTTGCTAAAAAGCTGCTAGCTTTAGTCGAATTTATCCAACGGATGGATGGATGGATTTATCCAACGTGCAAGCTGCTAGCTTTAAGGTTCTCTATTCCGCTCAACATCTTTTATCTTTTCGTTTTTTTTGCATATTGAATTATAAGTTTGAATTTGTATCGATTTTTATCAGATACAGATAGTATGTATCGTATCATGTTAACGAGAATTGCAATTGATGCAAAGTAATAAATGCCTACATGGAAAGACAGTTTTCAGAATATTGATACGAAGTTATTGATAGTAGTTTATCAATATGAGATGTAAGCCCAGCAGCCGAGATGCGGAAGACGCACATATTTGTTTGTTTCATACGATAGAAATTAAATAATGCAGAGCAAAGATTTTATTTGTTAAACCATACTTATTATATTCTTAACACTAAAAACTAGTATCTTTGGCTACAGCCTTCTCTAAGATAGTTGTTCCCCGGAGAGGTGCACCTCACCCTTTACATAACAAATGTCGAGATTATAACTATTTTATAACACGTACCTAATTTAAAATATACATTTCATTACATAACAATTTATGTAATTTACCAAGGTGCCTTAATACGTAATCGGTAAATATACATTGATATACATATCACTGACGCCGTCATGATACCTCACGAACGATCTACGAAGTCTAGTGCGAATTATGAAACTCCTGTTGACGAACTATCTATATTGCCTAGAATAGCATCTGGTTTTTCTGTCCTTTGTGATATTTCGACTAAGTTTATGTTCGGAATTTCAGCTGATGAGGCGTTACATATTTTAGTTTTATAAATAAATAGGTATTTCGTCGAGTAATGTAAAGAATGAAGAAATTTCAATAAAATGTATATTAAACAACTATAACTTTGTGATTTTCTGTTTTATAGAATCGAATACAGAACAACAGTCCTTCATAAAAACAGTGATTCCATACGACGTTCCTTTGATTAATTAAATACATATTCACAGAGGCATCGATATGAAATTCCATTCAAAATATCTACCAAACAACAGGCATTATTTTATCAGAAATAAAAATAATGAAAATCACTACTAGAATACAATATTTTGATATCATTCGCAAATTACGCTTGTGCCATATAAAGATGGTAATATAACCCGCGTTTCGTCGTTATTAAATCCTTATCGAAAACAAAATATGAAAATAAACGTCGTACCTTTTATCTTTTATCAAAGCAAAGAAAATATGTTTAGTAGCACATAAACTAAAAAGACGAAGGAAAAGAGACATTAAAAGGTAAGAAAGCAAAGTAAGAAGATAATAATAAAATCAAAGACAAAAAGGTTCTACCACAAACTGAATATTTTAAAGTTGGAGATGATTTTTCTCATATACCTACCGAGTTCTTTCTAACTCAGATATCGGAGCGAGACTGATCAAAATAATATAACAAAAGGAAAGAAGCCCGGCAAACAAACATGAGAAGGGCAACCGTAATTAGAAATAATAAGGCTTCGGAACATGACAAAGAGTACAATAAGAATGCTCCTCGTACAAAATTTAATGTAAATGGGGAAGAAAACGAGCCGGCTTGCTGTACAGATAAAGTCAATTGAAAATATTTATCTATGTTTTACCGAGAATAAATGAGCCAGAATATATTGCCGATACCAAGAAAGCATTACATCTGGATTCGTAAATACATGTCGGCAGCATTATAACTATTCTTATCCTTGTCAGTGTAGTAGCATTTTGCAATCAATTACGTTCATTATACTTTATCTCAGAGATTTAAAATATAATTAAATAAAAAATCAAGACAATAGGCTGAGTATTTTCATTAAAACGGTCGATTTAATCAACTGAATGCCACACACCATGAAAGATGTCTATCAAACTTTCCTCTTAAAAATGTTAATCATATGTCATCATCATCATCATCAGCCCATTAATGTCCCTACTGCTGGGGCACAGGCCTTCTCTATGGATGGAATAGGGAACATATGTACTCAGCAGCAAATAATATTTTAACGTATATGCAAAATGGAGGCATGCGAAATAAAACCACTGTTTTCTAGACAAAATAAAAGCAATAAGGAAAAACAGTGGGAAATGTGAGTGAATATTTCCAACACGTTCGCTCACCTGTAATCAGGGCTTGCGCCTTTGATGTCGCGGGGCCTTTATTAAGTAATGCTGTGGTTCACAGAAGGAAAAATGTTCGGGAGACTTAAGAGATCCCGTTCTCGATGAAACTCCTTTGACTTTGCGATTTACGAGAAAAAGCATTATATCTGCGATCCCGGCCTGTTCCTTCAGCGAAGCTCGAGTCGGTGCTTATTATATATTTAACAACTAGTTCAGGATTATAAAGAAACTACCTCCATGCGACTGAAAAGAGTACGCCAGTTGCTCTTTAGTTCTACGAATAATAATGAGAGAACATTTTTATTTGAATGCATCAAATAAAGATAAATTCCACAAAAAACAAAACAAATGAAACCAAAATGGCGTTTCAATTCATATTCGTTGTAAGGAAGCTCTTTGGAAGTATTATGACCGAATTTCAATTATACTTTAAACCACGAGGCTTAAAAAATATGGTACTTTATAATCATAAGCAAAACATTTATTCTACACAGGCACGGATACAGATAAATGTTTACACTTGCAAATATATATATAATGGACAACATTAAACATTCACTTAATGCCTATGTACCGGTATCTAAAGCTCAGCCGAAAGGGGCCAGTTCAGCATTGTGTCAGTTTTCACTGACGCTGTTTTTCAACTGGGTCCTTTTTCTGACATGTGGATGCCAAACACTATGATATGATTATATAAAATTTAAAAACATTTACGTAATTAACAAAAAAAAACAATATGAATTCAAAATCATCAAAACACAAAACACAACATAATCAATGTATATTAATTAACAAAAAGCTTGGAATAATAATGGAACAAAAAGATAAAATGTAAGTGAGCAACTTATTCATAAGACTCATCTAATAAGAAAATTCACATAAGTACTTATTATAATACAAAACAACACATTCACAAAAATAATATTAAAAAAAAGAAACAAACCATGACGCAGCAACATTCACTTGATTGATGAAATTTGAATATTGATTATTGAAATTAGAAAAATTGAAAATCCAAATCCTACCTTTTCATCTATTTTCCTTTTTAGACACTAAATATCTAACTAGTGAAATATTACAGAACTCCTAAACGGATAAAAGCCAGTACCTCAAAGTAAGCTACCTTTTTTGGGCTTCAATTCACTTCAATGATCGAAGTGAAGAAATATCTTTATCCCATAAGTTTATTCATTTTCGAAACAAGATAAATTATTATGTTTACGTTGTCGAAATGTTATAATAAAATAATATGAACATAAAATTTTCATTCTTTGATATACCACTTGAAAGAAATCTCATTACAAGTACCATAAAAAGCTAATGCCCAAAGTCGACTGAAAAATTCTTTAATCTGTTGACTTCGGTCTAATATCTATACGATCATTAAAGGAAACATATCAAAAAAGAACAACCCAGCCGTAGAGGAGTACTTCTGGGGCTTTGAGTGAAAACTTTTTAATTTAAGGCAAACATCTTGAGAGGCCCGGCCTCAAAGGACTCGAAGAAAATAAAATTAGTTTCGAATGTACCTCATTACTGGACTCCGTAATTGAGTATGCAGATTGCATGTCAAAAGTTTTTTAAGGGGGACCACGTCAACTGGGCCAGTTAGTGCTGGGTTTTAGTCACGATTAAAGAGGGAATTTCAAATGAAAACTTTTTGAGCCGGCAAATTTAAATAAACTAGGCGAAAGCATGGACTCCATGTTAAACTACCACCACCACTCTGAAACGTGTTTGCTTTTACCGTTTAAATAGTAGGTACTTTTGAACGCCTTGAGTTAATAATCGGTGGTTTCTATAAATCTATTTCCTGCTAGGATCTATTATGGTTGCTTTCCCCTATAGAACAATGTTTATATCAGGCTTTCGAAACAGTTGCGTAGCATTCATAAAGCTATTCCCTATCTATCACCTACATCTTAAAGGAAACTCCGGTAACATCTAATCAAATAGCCACAAAACTTGTTCAATGCGATAATTAAGGACGCTGCCGACGGAACCCTTCACAAAGGAGGTACAAACAAAAAGGACAATGAGCTCGTTAGAGCAGAATTTTTGCCAGAACCACCTCCCCCACTTCACGATCGAGTTGGAGAGACTTCTGGGTAAGGAATGCTAATTGTAAGTGGATTGCATAATGCTGATGCCGAGTTGGGAGATGCAGATTTTTCCGTTTCAATAAATACTTTAATATAAATATAGACTGGGCATATCTTATTGATGCTATTTATTAAGATCGTGTAAATAATGGTAGTAACGTTGATTAGGAAGAATTCAAATTGTATTGGAACATATAAAAAGATGTGACACACTCTGAATATAAATTAGTTAAGGTACTAGCTGACTAG